TTTTTGTCTGGTCAATACCATAGACTGTATAATGTTGAATCCTGTCAATGTCAGGTTTGAAAGCTTCAACCCCTACATTGTGGTAGTAAATCTAAAGTTTTCTTGATCGGGTCTATACCAATAGCAATCAAAAGGGGCCAAAGGCATATGAAAATATATTTATGAGATATTAAAATTCATAACCCTTTTAAAAGCCAATCATATAGTTGGAAAGGTTCACAGCTCGCCTGGATTTCAACAGACAGAAGCAAATCGATAGCAGTATGGAGACACTTTCAAACAAACTCAACATCTCTTCAAATAACTTCAACATCAAAAGAGTTCTGCACTTCGGTAAAATCAAGATACAAACTAAACCGGTCTCAAACACCAAAGAATCTTTGAAAAAACAACTAGATGAAAGCAAAAACATTTCAGAATTATTAATGATACACCATACATATTTAATTGCAACTAAATTCAGGAAGGGTTTTTTCAATTAAAGTTTATCTGCTCTACTTGATGTACAACCATATGTTTTTTGTGATCTATATCTGGTATCTAACACAGGATTTGTACACAACACCTCCTGTCTGGTATAGCATTCCACATACACACAGAAAAAAGGACAACAATGTGCATTTTTGCAGTGTGTTGATGCATTGTTACATCAATAATATGATACATTGACTCGTATGAATTTGACCTCATGCCCCTGTAAATAGCAATAACAAAACAATGTCCTTGTTTTCTGAATGATTTTGACAATGATACAGTTTAGCATTTTAATATTGGTCTGTTTATTGCAAATTTTCAAGAATACAGCCATGTTCTGAACTAATATATCTCATTACTTAGGAAAGCTGACAACGAAAGCTGCAAAGGATTAGGTCTTTTTCTAGTCTGAAACAACTGAATTTCTACTTTTAACTTTTTTTGATGGAGCGGGCATCTCCGCTCTCTCAATGATTTTTTTAAAGGAAATAGTCAATCATTTCTGACAAGTCTGTCCCAAAATAACTCATGTGCATAGCTGTATGACCTACAGGTCATGTACTCGATCATTATGTAAATGATTACTAAATGACAATCAACACTGCACAAACTGTATAAGGATCATTTGAAAAAGCTCATACCTGCTTGACAGATGTACAGGACATATGTCAGATATTTAATAGAACAAATAAAAGACATTCACATATAACTCAACAAAAACAACCAGACATTGAACAGATCATATATATGACAGGAAGGCATATTGGTGAAAAAGAAACTACTTCATAAATGGTTCTATGACATGAGAAGTCTGACTACTCTTAACAAGCTTTTAGGAAGTTGTGTCTCTTCACAAAAGCTTCCTAGTTTTTGGTATAAGGTAAGAAAACAATGCTACCAATGTCTGGGATGTACTTTCAGGAGGAATTAGTGTGATGCTAGTGACACGACTATGATGATGCCACCATCAGGAGGGGGCAGCACAAGTTACAGGAAGTTATTATATATGACCTTGACATTGGACAGCAGGTGGGCACTTAGTTTACAGTGATGGCAATTTAAGTGCTTGCAGTTGTAGATTTCTTTTTTTCAAATGAGGTAAATGTTGACCAAATGTTTGACACGTGTGGCAGAAACGTGAGCCATATAGATCAGTAGATCCAAGTTGTTTAAGCATGGTTATCTTAACATAACTAAACTTTTTATTTAGAATATTTAAAATAAAAAAGATTCAAATTTATTATCTAAACAACATATCTATATTTATTTTTAAAAAAGTCTGTGCCAAAAAAAAGATGGTTACAATTGTACCTTCTGAAATATTGACAAAAGGTTTTCATTCACTAACTTTGAGTTAACAACTTGCAAAGCTTTTGAAGTATTCATCAGCAAGACCCAAGTATTGTTAGCTTTATTCAATTACTAAAATTTTCAAAATATTTTTTTCCACAATATCAAGAAGCACATCTCAATACTTCCAAATCTGATCACCTCATTCAAATATCACATGAGTAGTGTGTCCTGTGAAATTTGAAGCTAATGAATTGCTCATGTAATAATGTTTCTGTTATAAAACTGGGTGAAGGCCTCTATGCTTTATCGTGTATACCACATGTGGAACAGGAACCAAATGTAGCAGACTTCTGTCTCACAGATCACATGGCATGTATGAGTAACAGAACAACATTGATCAAGACAGTTCAACGAAGTAGGATACACTGTAACACATATTTGAGATATTTGGGAAAACTAATATTGTTTGTCATTAAAAATTCCAGATACATTTTTCATGGTTTGGATATCTCCAATACCCTTTGCCTGAAGTCTTTGTTTTGTTTTGGTGTCATGGAAGTTTACTTGAATGGAATGGCTAAGTAGATATTGAATACCTAGTGTATCCCCCACTTTTCTAATGGTCAAACAATGACTTAATTATGTTTGACTAAATGCTAGCATCCTAAGGATCTGTGATCTGATACTGATATTTCAAAATTTTCCAACTTCAGTGGTTTTAAAAATGAAGGAACATAAAATAACTTTGACAGATCCTTTTCTTCAGTGTAGGGGCATAAATTGGCAATGTGCAGTATGGTATTTCAATCTCAAGATGCAGGAAATGCAATTTCCTTGCCTTCAGCTTTTCAAAAGTTTCCAATTCCAGTTGATTAAAATATGAAGAAATATCAATTTAAAAAAAAAACGGTATGTGGGTCACTTTTTCTTTAAGAGAAGGGGAATAAAACCAATAAAAATTCCAATATGAGTTATCTTTTAGCAGTGTATTGTAGCAGGTCATTATTTTTTCAATGCCTCCGCTAGTCTTTCTCTCTAGCCGACACAGTAGGAAACGGTTAGTATTTTACCAGGGTGACATTGATAAAATACATTCTGAATGTCAGTGTATGACGCTTCAGGTGGGGGTTGGCGATTAAGATTTATGTTAACGAGGGTCATATTTGTAGGCGGATTGGTCGAGTGGTTAACACTCCGGCCTTCCAAGCAGGCGGACGGGGTTCGATCCCCGAAGTCGCCGTACGCATGGAATATAAGAGAAAGTGTTTTTCTCCTGCCCACACAACTCCAACAACCCAGATGGAGTATAAAATGGTCTGGTGTGGGTGTTGCGGTATCTGTGCTGTAGTATTCAAGTGAGGTGGCACTATAAATGATACCGTTGGAAGCACGGTTCCACTACAAACATAACACGATACAACTCCAGCACACACGCAGGCATATATACACACATAGGGAGNACTGTTCAATAAGTTTGAATACGGACTTAGAAATCATATAACTTGGTTTCTTAGTGCGGTAAGAAATTGCAGTTGCANTTGTATTGACTGTATAACATTGTATATCTATGTACTGTAAAGCGCTTTAGAGTGGCTTATGTTAGCTAGATAGGGCACTATATCAAATGTTGTATATTATTATTATTATTATATCTTTGACCCAGTGCAAAACTTTTCTACGCCATGTGGCAGATTTTGCCGGCCCCCTCCTTCCTTCAACAGTCATATACTCACTATTGGATATTGCATAATGACAACATGTATTATGNCAGGTGACGTTATCGGCGCTATTTTTAGCAGGGCTTTCCCGAACAATTCAAGTGGTCAAACTGGACATTTGGAACGGACTATGAATATGGGGATAGCGAGGTAACATAAGTGGAAGTGCATACAATACATATATTCATTAAAAAAAAAAACGCCTTTTCACGTGATGTCCCTTTAAAGTCAGTGTGTAGCGTATACATGTTTGTATTTTATGTCGTTTTTAGACTAAATTTCATATTACACTGGTATTACTGGTATTACTGGTTGTCCTTTGCCTTTTGTATACTAGAGTATGGCTTGCTGTGTGCACGTGGCTCATGTTAAGAATTGCACACTATAAATACATGATGGATATCACTAATGTATGACAGTGGGTGAGATTTTTACTGTTTTTACACTGCATAAATACATAATTACGTTATAATGATTACTGTCTGTATAGAACATTTTTTTTGTGTTTGTTTTATCTAAAAAAATAATATTATACAACGCAATGTACAAACACTTGTGTATCACATATGTAATACGTAGTTACTGAAAATCTCAAACACAGTAATCTTACTTCCACTTTCAGACAAACAATTATTGTCATTTTAATGCCTTGTCTGTATAGAATTGACTAATGAAATGATATGGATATAATAACACATGCACAGAAATGAAATTCATGATTTTCATGCTTTGATCTCCCCCCTCCCCCTAATTCAATCTATCCAGGAACAGGAGTGTAAACCTATAGTGGAACAACATCAGCCCCGACACTTTAACTGCCGCGGTGATGTAAAACTGCTGTTAACCTATACTACACAAGACACTGAACAAATCTATTACATTTTATGGTTTTGTTGTTTAAGATGGAGAATTACGTTTTTTAGAAAAAGAAAAAATATCCAATAAAATAGTGAAATGCAATAAAATTGTTCGGATTTCAAATAATTTCCTAGACACAATTTATGGCCGGATGAGTTTGAGTAATTCAAACAATTAAAAGTGTGCATATATCTGTTACTTCCTGTAATATATAATGCTTGTGAAACAATACTAGTCAAATCATTCACCTGTGGGTGGGTAAAGCATCACCAACACTAATTATAGTGGTCTAACTTATTATGTCTTTTTATACCAGAATCAATAGAACGGCCAACAACAGTATTTATTAATTCTTACCAATCTGATTGTCCTAATTCAAGATTATGCTAAACAACAACCCAAAGCCTTCCCAAGAGACTACATTCCTATGATATTTATTGAGAATTAACGTTTTTGACTTTTCTTGCTCAACCGCGGTGGGGTTCATAAACCACCTGTCACTAATACGGAGAGACGTAATTCCCAAAACAAAAGTATATTGTCATGGACAAAACTTAGATCCAAGGTCAAACTAACATGCAACGCTCATCTCTGATCATCCACAGGACCAGGAATGCAGGGATTAGAGAAAAAGTGACGTGTGAAGATTGATTTATCCTACATGAAACAGATTGGTAAGTAAAGAATCAAACGGCTAAAATGTGTAGCATCAGACAGTTGGGTAGGTGGAGTATCAGATAGCTTGGTAGGTGGAGTATCCGACAGCTTGGTAGGTGGAGTATCAGACAGTTTGGTAGGTTGAGTAACAGACAGTTTGGTAGGTTGAGTAACAGACAGTTTGGTAGGTGGAGTATCAGATAACTTGGTAGGTGGAGTATCAGACAGTTTGGTAGGTGGAGTATCAGACAGTTTGGTAGGTGGAATATCAGACAGCTTGGTAGGTGGAGTACCAGACAGTTTGATAGGTGGAGTATCAGACAGCTTGGTAGGTGGAGTATCAAACAGTTTGATAGGTGGAATATCAGACAGTTTGGTAGGTGGAATATCAGACAGCTTGGTAGGTGGAGTATCAGACAGTTGGGTAGGTGGAATATCAGACAGTTTGGTAGGTGGAATATCAGACAGCTTGGTAGGTGGAGTACCAGACAGTTGGGTAGGTGGAGTATCAGACAGCTGGGTAGGTGGAGTATCAGACAGCTTGGTAGGTGGAGAAACAGACAGTTGGGTAGGTGGAGTATCAGACAGTTTGGTAGGTGGAAAATCGCACAGTTTGGTAGGTGGAGTATCAGACCGCTTGGTAGGTGGAGTATCAGACAGTTTGGTAGGGGGAGTATCAGACAGTTGGGTAGGTGGAGTATCAGACGGTTTGGTAGGGGGAGTATCAGACAGTTTGGTAGGGGGAGGATCAGACAGTTTTGTAGGTGGAGTATCAGACAGTTGGGGAGGTGGAGTATCAGACAGTTTGGTAGGTGGAAAATCGCACAGTTTGGTAGGTGGAGTATCAGACCGCTTGGTAGGTGGAGTATCAGACAGTTTGGTAGATGGAGTATCAGACAGTTTGGTAGGTGGAGTATCGGACAGTTTGGTAGACGGAGTATCGGACAGTTTGGTAGGTTGAGTATCAGACAGCTTGGTAGGTGGAGTATCAAACGGTTTGGTAGGTGGAGCATCAGACAGTTTGGTAGGTGGAATATCAGACAGCTTGGTAGGTGGAGTACCAGACAGTTGGGTAGGTGGAGTATCAGACAGTTTGGTAGGTTGAGTATCAGACAGCTTGGTAGGTGGAGTATCCGACAGCTTGGTAGGTGGAGAATCAGACAGTTTGGTAGGTGGAGTATCAGATATAGCTTGGTAGGTGGAGTATCAGATAGTTTGGTAGGTGGAATATCAGACAGTTTGGTAGGTGGAGTATCAGACAGTTGGGGAGGTGGAGTATCAGACAGTTTGGTAGGTGGAAAATCGCACAGTTTGGTAGGTGGAGTATCAGACCGCTTGGTAGGTGGAGTATCAGACAGTTTGGTAGGTGGAATATCAGACAGCTTGGTAGGTGGAGTACCAGACAGTTGGATAGGTGGAGTATCAGACAGCTTGGTAGGTGGAGTATCAGACAGTTTGGTAGGTGGAGTATCGCACAGTTTGGTAGGTGGAGTATCAGACAGCTTGGTAGGTGGAATATCCGACAGCTTGGTAGGTGGAGTATCAGACAGTTGGGTAGGTGGAGTATCAGACAGTTGGGTAGGTGGGGTAACAGACGGTTTGGTAGGTGGAGTATCAGACAGCTTGGTAGGTGGAGTATCAGACAGTTTGGTAGGTCCAGTATCAGATAGCTTGGTAGGTGGAGTATCAGAAAGTTTGGTAGGTGGAGTATCAGACAGCTTGGTAGGTGGAGTATCAGACAGCTTGGTAGGTGGAGTATCAGACAGTTTGGTAGGTGGAGTATCAGACAGTTTGGTAGGTGGAGTATCACACAGCTTGGTAGGTGGAGTATCAAACAGTTTGATAGGTGGAATATCAGACAGTTTGGTAGGTGGAGTATCAGACAGTTGGGTAGGTTGAGTAACAGACAGTTTGGTAGACGGAGTATCGGACAGTTGGAATTGGTAGTCACAAAAACCACAAAAAAAGTACAGGATTATAACTTAATAAACTAGTAAACTTCCTTATGTAAGGGAGATAATCCTTATTAAGATATGGAACTGGACCAAACATTTGCTTATCTATGGCCAACAATAGGGAAATTAAAGAAAACACATATCACCAATTTATTTATTGACAATTGGTATTTATCGACAGGTGATAGCTATAAACAGGTGGTAGCTGTAGACAGGTGGTAGTTAAACAGGTGGTAGTCATAAATGCGGAAATTATAGATAGATGGAAGTTATTGGCAAGTGGTAGTTATAGACAGGTGATATAGACAGATGATATAGACTGGTGGTTATAGAGAGCTGTTAGCTAAAGATAGGCGATATAGACAAGTGGTACTAGTAGTTATAGACAGGTGATATAGACAGGTGGTACGCATATACAAGTAGTTATAGACAGGTGATATAGACAGGTGGTACGTATATATAAGTAGTTATAGACAGGTGATATAGACTACTTATAGTTATAGACAGGTAATATAGACAAGTGTTATGGGTTTTTATAGAGAGTTATTAGCTAAAGACAGGTGATAGCTTTGTACAGGTGGTACTGGTAGTTATAGACAGGTGATACTAGTGGTAATAGAGGTGTTGTATAGGTGGTACTGGTAGTTATTATACATTTAAAGTATGGGGTTGAGGGATATAGCAAGTTTCTGGTGTCCCGAGACCAGGTCTATTTCCCAAGGCGAAGCCGAGGGAAATAGGCATGGTCAAGGGACACCAGAAACATGCTATATCCCTCAACCCCATACTTTAACTGTTTTATTATACCGATACACACTGGACAGATGATTTTAACTTGAAAATATTTGTAAGCCATATAAGCTGTATTGTATAGCTTCATGTCCGATGGCAATGGAGCCAAATGCTTCCTTGTGCGGTAGCAAGCTCCGCCCACCTCCTGCATCGCTTCTGAATTCGGAAGCAAGCTCCGCCCACCTCCCGCGTCACTTCCGAGTTCGATAACAAGCTCCGCCCACCTTTCGCCTGATTGGCTCAACGGAAACACCCAAGTGTAGGTGTGTTTTAGTTTGCAGACTAACACACACGACTAAAACACAGTTAGGCAAAAGTGGGGATATATTCGATTTAACCAATAACTTTTATATAGAGTAAATAAAGTAGAGGTATAATAAAGACAGGTGATACTAGTGGTTATAGAGAGGTGTTGTATAGGTGGTACTGGTAGCTATACACAAGTGTAAAGACAGGTGATAGTTATGTACAGGTAGTAGAGATAGTTACAGATATGTGATACTAGTGGTAATAGAGGTGTTGTATAGGTGGTACTGCAGGTAGCTATACACAAATGTAAAGACAGGTGATAGTTATGTACAGTTAGTAGTGATAGTTACAGATATGTGATACCAGTGGTTATTGACAGGTGTAAGCCATTGACATCACGGTTAATTAATGTTGATTGATGATTACAACTGATTTCATGTAACAGGAAAATGAGAAATGCACTGAAAGACTGTAATTCAAACCCTGAACCCTCTGACCCTACTCCACCGATTGAGCTACCTGGTCACAGATGAATGACTCAGTCCAGTTCTGCTATATTCCTCCCTTCTTCAATGGAACTTCCAACAACGAAGACATGCGAGACCCTTAACTAGCTCCCACGGGTATATTTCGTTTGGCACCAAATGTAACAGGAGAAAAAGAAATGCATGGCCAGACCAGGATTTCGAACTCAGGACCATATGAACTCTAGGTGGACGCTCTACCAATTGAGCTACCTGGTAATAACAGAGGTTACACCTGTTCACCTTTCAACATGATTGGCTCTGTTATCTATTTAACTGTTTATTGAGTCTGCTACTGTTGGATTGAGACTTGGGTGAACATTGGGTGTCACTACTATATTACTCTACTAAAGCAATATCAGTAAAATCTGGCTGATGTAATTAGTAATTATATAAGTGTCAGAAACTGAACATTTTTCAACCAGCACTTTGATCATGAGCTATTGGAGCAAGCCAAGATACATAAACATGGTAGCGGCACTAGCCACACTAAACATATTACAGAGGCTTGTATATAACTCAGAGTTAGTAACTAGACACTGAGACAGAAGGTCAAAGTATCAATCATCAAGGTTATTTCCAGTTCTAATGTCAGACAAGTTTTTTCTGACAAAAATGCATTAAGAGAAAAAACGGTGTTTTGCAATGACAACGTCACAACCGAACTAGTATTGCAACCTGCAGACTTGGTTTATCATGGCCCTCCATGTACATTAGGTTACAGATAGGAGGTAATTAAGTGTTCCCATTTGGTAATAATGTGCCTGGTGTTCTAAGAACTTCAGCTTGCCTGACAGTAGAACATTTTGCCTTTACAACAACTGTTAGACATGCCAGTGATATACCCAGGATTGCATGTCTGAGGAAAAAGTTGAGCAGTCATCAGCATGTCAACACCCATTAGTTACTATGGAGAAAGGTCCAACAGCATATCTAATTGCTACCAAGCAATAGCAAATATCATGGCAAACAGTTTCTGAATATCAAATATTTCAGGAACTAAACCATTCCACAGTCTGAGCCATGTAATACTGCGAGGACCAAGATAGAACAAAACCACTCCAGTCAGAACCATGTAATACTGCGAGGACCAAGATAGAACTAAAACCACTCCACAGTCAGAACCATGTAATACTGCAAGGGGCAAGATAGAACTAAACCACTCCACAGTCAGAACCACGTAATACTGCGAGGACCAAGATAGAAAGACCAAGATAGAACTAAAACCACTCCACGGACGGGAACCATGTAATACTGCAAGGGTCAAGATAGAACTAAACCAATCCACAGCCAGAACCATGTAATACTGCGAGGAGAAAGATAGAACTAAACCACTCCACAGTCAGACCATGTAATACTGCAAGGGGCAAGATAGAACTAAACCGCTCCAGTCAGAACCATGTAATACTGCGAGGACCAAGATAGAACTAAACCACTCCACAGTCAGACCATGTAATACTGCGAGGAGAAAGATAGAACTAAACCACTCCACAGTCAGACCATGTAATACTGCGAGGACCAAGATAGAACTAAAACCACTCCACAGTCAGAACCCTGTAATACTGCGAGGACCAAGATAGAACTAAACCAATCCACAGTCAGAACCATGTAATACTGCGAGGACCAAGATAGAACTAAACCACTCCACAGTCAGACCATGTAATACTGC